TGCTGCAAGATGTGATGTGGTATTTTGTGATTCATCTACCACCAAAACTAATAGCTTACCGATTGGCATCTTACACAAAAGGCTAAAGACCTTTTCTTGCCGATTCTTGATGGCAACTTGCATTATATATCCTTCATATGGCATTTTAGTCCAAATCAAATCAGGAAAGAACTGGAAATATATCCTTAAAATTTCAACTATCCCAGATGATATGGTATTGTACAAAATGTCTGCACTGATGAAAGACTGCCAGAATAGCGAGCTGTTCATGATCAAAGCTTGTGAACAAACATACTCTACCAATCTTAGAGCAGATTTATGTCTCAACTTTGTGTCTCTTACTAGCTTTATGCGTGGAACTGCAGGTAAAATTTAGTTACGTAGAAAAGTGAGGCTAAGAATGGATCTTGAGGATCTCTCAAAATGTGCTTCTATTACAATAAAACATACCCAGCTTCTCAATAGCTTTCCAGATGAAACCTTTGTTTGATGTGTCATGAAGATCCTTCAAATCTCCTCTTGGCTGTAAATGATCAAGTTCCACTGAAACAACTAATGTAACGGTAGAATAAGAAAATTAAATTTCGTGAAAGACAAGGACCAAAATGAAGCTTGGAATGAGAGAAGAATTTTGCCAAAATGGGTACTTACAGTGGTAAATGAAGCTTCCCAAAAGCCCAAGCTCACTTCCACTTTGGAAGTCTGAGGGCATTTTCGACAAGACATTAAATATAACACTCCCATTTGAGTCTGCCATGGTGGCCAAGTTGGGATAGCGCTGAAGAAGAAACAGAGTGATATCTGCGCACTAGAAAGAAGCATAATTATTGAAAAGAAACAAGAGAGTATGAGACTACAGGAGTTGAATAGTTTGATGAGCTTGTACATTAGTCTGCCTTTTAGCCCAGCATAAAATGCTAGCTTTGCAATCAGTCACTGAAAAACTACATAAATTTGCCTTCTGCTGAAGTTAAATTCCAGATTTGGTCAAATCTCAAAAAATGGATAATTATTCTATCATGGTCCTAAAAAATTATGTTAATGGTTGGTATGAAATATACTACAAGGCCTACAAGTCAAGTACACCTTCTCATCTAATCAGTCTCAACATGAGTCCATGCTGAATGAGTGTAGCACGATCATATTTGAAAAAAAAAAAAAACATGAGTCCAACCATACTGAAACATCACTAAAAGGAAATTGTTGTCTCAGTCAACATTTGTTTTGATAACCATTGATGACTTAACTGCTGTCAATGTTGGTTAGTGTTAACATAAGATAACATGTTAACAATAGTCCAAAATTGTCTCCATCACACTATTCACATCAACCAGACATTCTGAAAACATAAATAGCCAAATATATACTGAAAAAGTTTAATTACCATGAAATCCTGCAGCAGTAAGCAAAGCAACAAGACGACTAGCTGAAGGACCAGAGAATGGGCAAGCAGGTCTCTCATCTGTAGTAACCAAAGCAAGGTACCATACCAACTCTCTTACTTGTAGAAGAAGTAATTGCATAGACAAGAGGAGAGAATCCTTCAAAATCAGTTATTTGTGTCACAGAAGGATTCTTGGTCACCAATGCCTTGGCTGCTGTTGCATTTCCACCCAATGCAACATAGTGCAGGGCAGTACATCCCATCAAGTCTACCTCGGCAAGCGCTTCTACAGGCATTTGCTGCACCAACTTCTCCACAAGTTTCCACTGCCCTGCTATGGCTGCCACTTGTAGTGCAGTCCTAGAAATTGTGGTGATCTTTGCTGTCAATGCATTTGGATCATGCTCGATGAACGCCCTCACAGATTCCCAATCACCTTTGAGTGTTGCTAGGTGCAATGGGCGGTAGTAATTGTGGTTAAATCCCCTAGCTTTTGGCAATAGTAGAAGCAAAATGTGAATTCATATTAAAACAAGAAAAATTCAAGACTCAAAGAAATTACTCAAATAGCCATGTCATGTAGTATATATTTTAAAATCTAAAATGCAAGTCATGAATATTGCTGTAGAAGTGTCAGCATCAAGTATGCAGGTGAAGAACAACTGAACAGACTCTTAACATAAAAACCAAATTTGCAGGTATAAATATAACCTTTTCAACTAAAGAGGGACCCTAGTAGTAGTAGAAGTATCACCTTTTCAAGTAAGGAAGGACCCTACTGAAACCTTCGACCAACTAAGGCATAGCCCTCAGAGCTTAAGTGGAATTCAATTATAAAGAAGAGCCCAGAACAAAGTAAGTTATTGCTGTCAGATAGTACTCTACCTGTCTCACCCTTCTCATTCTGGACTGGGCTAGGGGAAACGAAACAAAACAAAAAGAAAGAAAGAAATATCTTTTTATCGTATTCATTCTCCTAAAATTTGTTCTACCCAACTTTTCTACCAATCCATATCTTCGCGGTAAGAGCTACTTTACTTATCTTAGATTCGTTCAACGTAATGAGTTCAAAAGTGACTACTTTGAAACACCCATACTTCAAAAACACAGCCGATTGTGGACATTGCATTGCATTATGACATTGTGTTTGTGTGTTGGATTCGAGGTTCACAAAATTTGTTTGGGACCTGAATGACATGTATAAGAGGACTTTCACATACCGAACTCAGTAATAGCATCCTTGACCTCGTTCGAAGAAACCAAACGTGATTCTGGAAATGCCATCTTCTGCTGATTTCAGAGCTTACGCTTGGCCTTGCAGGCTTCAACGCCGCAACGACAGCTCAAGGAGGTGAATGTGGAAGATTTATTACAATAAACTACAGCCAAAGAAGAAAGATGCTTCCTTCCCGACAACGCAAGGTTGATGTTCTCTTTTTCAACCTTTTCTCAAAGTGCTGAGTCAGCAAATCAGAGTGTTTCATGGGACAAGTCTATGTGGCCAAGCAAAGCAAGACATACTAGAACTAGCATTTATTCTCTCCTCTTTTGTATTTTAGGTTCCCCAGCAACTGATCAAGAGTCCCTCCGTTCTTTTTCCTTCATTTTTTTTTTTTTTTTTTTTCATTCTCACCATTCAAATTTTTTTATTAAATAATTTTTTTAAATAATAAAATTAATGAATGATAGAAATGGAAGAAATGGAGAGAAATAAAAAAAAAAAAAGTGAGGTCCCCCAACCCCCCCCAAAAAAAAAAACAAAAGAAAACCCTTGATTCTTCTCATTCTTCTTTCTTCTTCCCCTCCTCCTCCTTTTGAGGTACAATGGCAAGCAAGAGCTTGAATGAAAGAAAAACTAGGAACTCCGTCCTACACAGCAGTAAAAACAAAACACAAGCAGATAGATGAGACCGAGCCAAAAGCCTTATAAGGGAGAAATCTTTCCGAACAATGCGGATAGACATTTTTTATTCCAGTGCATTGTTTTTTCGGTTCTTCAAAAAAAAAACAAAAACAAAAAAGATTGTTTGAATTAACATTTGCTTATATAATATATATATATATATATATATATATTGTCAGAGTCCTGGACAAATTTTACTTTTTATACAATGTAGAGTTAGGATTTAATTTCTATTATCATAATAAATGCCGTTAAACAATTCAAAATTAAGTTTTATTTTTTAATATTATAGGAATAATTATGCCATCTAATTTAGAGAATTGAATTTTTTTTAAACGTCAAATATATATTTTTCTGGCCATAAAAATATTTTATTTCAATGTTTCAAAAATAAATTAAATATCTTTTTATACATTGCACAAATAGTCTGATTTGTATAATCTTTATGCTATTAATATTAATTAATATAAAGGAGAAATAATTCAATCCCAAAAGGAGAATTAATGACACTTTGATCCTGATAATTTTTTTAAAAAAATAGTTATAAATAGCTATTTAATTAATTACAAATTCATGAATTATAATTTTAAACAGGAAAAATAATAATAAAATCCCTTATTATTATATAAATGATAATTTGATCTCTTAAAATATCATAATACTAATAAAGTTTTTAAGAACCTCTTTACCAATAACTTTTGTTTAAAAAAAAAGATTATTTCATCCTTATTAACAAGTTGTAATTTCTTATTCAATATTTGTGATTCTTTGAAGAAAAGTTTTGATTCTTTAAATAAAATTGTGAATAAAATTTATTATTTTGAGAACTTGTTTTTCAATAATAGAAATATAGAATTGATAAATTATGATTTTTTATTCAATTCTTGCAATTCATATAATAAAAGTTGTGATTTTTTAAATAAAATTTATAATTGAGGGCTTTTTTTTAATAACAAAAATTACGATTCACAAGTTATAATATTTTAAAACTCTTAAGATTTACGAAATAAAAGTTATAATTGAATTTTGCTATTTTTAATAAAAATAAAATAGTCTTTTTTAAAAAAAATAATTGACAAAAAGCTTTTAAGGACTTTATTAGTATTATAATTTTTAAACGATCGAATTATTATTTACATAATTTAAAAAAAATTTATTATATTTTTTTTCATTTAAATAAGACATTTAAGGCATGTATTTTCTCCTTTTAACCTTCAGTTTCAGCTTTCTGGTCCCATTTGCAACTGTCTAATTTAATTAATATTTATATTTATCTAAAAAAATTGTCAAAGGCCTAGCAGCTTAACTGATTTCACTTTATTTAAAACATATAAAATATTTTTGAAAGGTTAAATATTTAAAATATAAAACGTTTTAGTATTTAAAGATATAATCATTGCATGTTTTAAAAAAATATTCTTATTAAATAATTACTTTATATTTATTTCAGAATAAAACACCTTATTATATAAAATAAATATGAAAAAATAATGTTAATTTAAAAATAAGTAACTACTTTATTAAAAGTAAAATTTAATTAAAATACTTTTTATTTTTTAATAAAAGGAGTGTTAATTTTTTCTTCTGCTTATCATTGCCTCCATATAATTTCCCATTGTTTCCACAACAACGTTTGAAGCATCGTAAGCTTCAATAATATTGGCTCACGATTTACGAATAAGTTTCAACCAATTCACACGTATTGTTCATATATCGATTTAACTGTATTGATTTGATTTGATTTTCAACTTTTTCGTCCAGTTCATCTTTACACTTCTTATTTTGCAACACAAAATTCTCTACAAATTCAAAATGAAAAAAAATCAAATGCAATAATTTTTTTAATCTTCAGTATTAGATTCTCCAATTAACACCTTCTGTTCCCGACGAACATACCCTGAAAAAAAAAAGCAATAATCTAACGTAATATACAGCCAAGAATCAATATACAAAGAATGATGCTGCAAGATAACATACCCCATTGTGGCTGTTTTTGTAAAACCATTATCAAACACGAGCGGCTTTGCTAAGTTAGACTCCATTTTCGTATATCTTCAAACTACACATAGCAGCTATAGCTCTGCCTGCCAGTAGCAAAACTGACTCTACAGTCCAAAACAACCAAAATTTTAGCATCCAAGGCCTTTCATTATCCTGCTCAGCTCATTGATAACATCCTGAGGATTTGCATATGAACCAGAAAGGTTTATAGCATGGTATTCCAGCCCTTTCCACCTGGAGATCAACTGAAAATGTGGACGCCTGAATTGGCTGCTAATTATCTCAAGAATCACAGTTTTAGGCAATGCGGATACAATGTGAGTAAGACCAGCACCATGAGCACCAATGATCACCGATGCATCTTGAATGGCTTGGACCTGTTCTTTCATAGACATGTGCGCAAACAATCCATTCACAAGGTTAAGTTTGCATCCTTCATAGCTGGATGCCCAGCTCTTCAAGGAGTTAAAGACTTGTGCCTCATTAGTAAGCCTTGACTCGACTTTGCCACCATGGCGAGGATGAGCTAAATAATCTTCCCGGCGAACAAAAAGGACATTGTGACCAGAGGTTGGCTTTCTGATGTGGTGTTGGTTTAAGGGCAACTCAAAAGCTGCTCTGATCATCTCTCCGAACTCAGATATACGTGCAGTTTTGAGATTATCAGGGTTATGCCATAGATGAAGTGCAGATGCTCCATCACAATTTATAGATTCTGTTAGACCTTTAAACAGCGCGGTTTCATATCCCAAAGGTGAGAGAATAGCATGGTGAAAACAAACAGAACCACTGTGGTTTTTAGCATAGTTGATACTTGAGAATAATGCTTTCCATGTCTCTTCCAGGGGTGACTGAAATGTTTTACAATAGGAGGAAAGTAGTGAATCCAAAGATTTTAACCAATTGTGTGGAAGATGAAAAAACAAATCAATTATTTCACAGTAGGAGGAAACTAGAGAATACTTTGAAAATGCAGAAGTAAATTTACAAAATGTATAGTTAAAAAAAAAAAAAAAACACAAATCTCAAGCAGGCAATGGCATAAGAACTATTAACTGGAAAGATAACGATCAATCTGATTATGCATACCATGCAGTGGCCGTCTACAAAGATCAAACGAGGTCGATTCGGCAGGCCAGTGACTCTAGAAGAAACATATGCACTGTACCAGTCTGTAATAGTGTGAAAAAGATTTGCATACTCAAAGCGAGTCACAAGAAGTGTTGGCTCCTCAATCCACTGCAAGTTCATACATTCATGTTAGAATCAGGCAAGCAGAAGCCAAGCAACAAGAGATAAACATGAGACTAAAGTTCAGCTCATCAGAGGGATAAAGTTCAACAAGGCAGAAATTAACACAAACAGCAGTTTTAACTTCCTCACTCAGAGGAGCTTGACCAACTTTGACTCGTCATTCCACTGTATCCTCATTGATCAGGTCCAACGAAAGTTCAATACTTTTATGTGTTCAACGGGCACTGAACATACTGAAGCCAGATTCAGATTTAAAATACCGATTTCCATGTTTGGCATTGCTAAATGATAGGTATGCAAAAGGCTTGAATAAGTTTTAGGACATGGTGTTAGTATTATTAGAAGTCCCAATTTGATCCCTCTACTAAAAACTGAATCAGTACTGCCTTTCAACATATTGAAATCAAAATTTACAATCACCATTTGCGATGACATTCAGAATTAAATAAACACCATTTGGGGCATGTGGGATGACAACAATGTAATCACACATTGCTCATAAAGTTAGAACAAAGAAGTGAAAACCAATTAATCCCTATAACCTCATCGCAAGCGAAGTCCTTCTCACCAACTACCCTGATCGAACTGATCAAATCGCGCATTGTATGCCTCAGAACTTCGCCTTGAGGCACATACTGATCCAAGAACTCGTGGCTCACGAGCTGCTTCTCTTCACTAAGCCCTTTCCCTCCAAGAACCTCAAAAGCACCGTTCTGAAACACAGGAAGCTCATCCTCCTCTTTCCTCCCCAAGACCTCCTTCAAGTTCTCGCCTCCCATTGACATCTGTATTCTCTCTGGCACCATCCGAAGCTTCCCTCCCTCACATATCGAGCTCCGCAATGTATCGCTGTACCAACAACGAAACCATCCGCCGCCGCCGCCGCCGCCGGAACTGTTGGAGAGAGCACTGGAGGAAAGGAGATCATGGCGGTGGATGAAGCCGTTGCCAAAATAGGCTTCGCAGGAGCGGAAATCTACAGAGTTGGTGGGTGGTTGGGTCCAAGGGAGGTAAGAGGGAAGGATCGGCCAAGATTTCAGGAATTGGGTTTGGGTTCGAAGATGATGCAGCAAGGGACGGGGAAGGGAATGTTTGGTGGAGGAGTAGTAGGAGGTGAAGTAGAGGAAGAGGGAGAGGGAATTGAGGATGAAGAGGAGGATGATGATCTTCAGAAGATTAGTGTTTCTTCTGTTCATGGCTTCTCTGTCTCTCTCTCCCCCCTTCCCTTCTCTTGAATCTCCTCTCTCTCCTCTCAGTTTTTTACTTTTTCCGATCGCGGTGGTGAGGATCAACGCAAGTCGTCTGAAAGAAAATTCTGGTTTGACTCACCGAATAAAGGAAGGACGGTAGCGGTGGACGCGCCTTTGTGCATTTCTCAGCCGGACAGAAACAAATAGTGTGTTGCCACGTATGTGATGTCAGGTTTTTTTTCCTTCTCGGCAACAGATTTTTGCGTGATTTAGTATTGAGTAGGGCTGTGCAAAAGTCTCGTGATCTCATTCGGTTCGGTCCGATCCACAAAAATCCGATCTTATCCAATCCTGTAAAATGCTGGTCTTATAAGACCAAAAAAACTAAAAAGATAGGACTGATTTTTCGGGTAAAACCAGACTAGAGACCAAGCATGTGGATAAGGTGGTCCGGTTTGGTCCTATATAATTATTTTAATATAATTAAAATTAATTTATAAATTATTAATTAATAAGCCTTAAAAAAAAGTCTTAATCCTGCCTTGCACTTTGCACTCTAATAAAAAAAAAAAACCTCAACACTGTTACTCAACAGCACTTAGCGTCTCAGCCATTCACTCAACGTTGCTTGAGTTGCTCTCATTCTCAATTTCTTCAATGCGCCAAAGCCCTAGCCCCTGCCTTGCACTTTGCACTCTGATCTTGATCTGTTCGAACTTTGAAGGAACATGTCTGTGGGTTGATTTTTATTACTTCTGTTCTTGCTGCTGATTTTTTCCTCTGGTCTATTTTCGGTCTTTCCTCTGATTTTTTATTGAAATTATGTATTTAAATCATTTAGAGTTTGGACTGTAACTAAAATTTTATCTTCTTGGTGTTAGAAATTATTATGGATTTATTATGATTATAAGTGTTTTTATTATCTTAATTGAGTTTGTTAACTTGAAATAGATTATTGGTCATCATAAAGAAAAAAAAAAAAAAGGCCAAGTGAGTATTGGACTAACAGGACCAGTCTCCCAGTCCTATGGACCAAATCCAGTCTTGTTAATCTCGAGTTTTCACAGGACCAGACCGGACTATGGGTTATCTAACCCAGTCCTTTTCATGAAAAGGACCAGACTCTGGATTAGGCTAAAGTTCAATCTTATTTAGTCTTTTGTGTAGACCTAATACTGAGGACTGACCAGTGACCATATATCATCTTGTCCATTTTTTTCCCCAAAAAAAAAAATAGAGAGAGAAAATATCATTTTGTCCAGTAAAATTTAAAACATATAACTATAAATATAAATTAGTTTTTTAATTAAAAAAATAAAAAGATACTCTATTTTAAAATATAATACATAAAATTTTATTTAATTAAATTAGTAAAAAATATTTTTATTAGATAAAGATGTGGTGTGCCCATAGTTCGGGCTGATTTAATACAGTAATTATTAAGCCTACTGCGGCCTTTTTTTTTTTTTTTTTTAAGTCAAGGTCATTTAACACGAGGAGAAATTAAGGATCTGGGGTAGACTAGATATGTTGAATAACATTCAATATTTAATTAATGTTAACTTTTTAATACTTTCTTCCCCTGCCCCTTATAAATACTATATAATACCCAGTCGTTAGAAATTTGGGAATAAAAAAAGTTGTTTATCCTATCCGTTCAAAATATAAACTATATTTTAATTCTTTAACTTTCAATTAAGTTTTATTTTGGTTTTCCAATTTTATAAATTATCTTTTCAATCATTCATAGGTTAGTTCCATTAAAAAAAGTTTACATTAAATTATTAAATATTAAGAAATATTATTAAATATTGACATATTAATTTTAATTTTTTTAAATTAATAATAATTAGTATAAAAATAATTATTTGAAACCAATTTTATTAATGTTAAAAGATTAAAAATATACTTTATAAAATAAAGAAATCAAGTTAAAACCAATATTTTTTAACTAGCTAATGACCTAATGTTAGTAAAAATATAAAATACTTTGTAAAATGCGAACAGTATTAAATTCTTTTTCCACAAATACTCTTATTCATTGGATCGTAGAGAAATATCATATATAAAAAAAGGTTTAAGTACACATTTAATTTTGTAACTTTAATATTTCATTTTAATCTTTTAATTTTATAAATTTTTTTAAATCCTTTAATACTAATATTGTTAGTTTATTCTAACAAATTTTTCATTAAATTTTTAAATATTAATAAAATATTTTTAAATATTAAAATATTAAGTTTATTTTTTTTAAAATAACAGTAATTGATACAAAATATAATCATTTAAAACTAATGATGTTAGGATTGAAAAACTAAAAAGATACTTTACAAGAATAAAAGATTAAATTAAAATCTTATATAAAATTATAGGATTAAAAATATACTTTAGACATATTTATTTTAGTTGAAAGGTAATCTTGAAGGGTAGTGATAATTTTTTTTAGGTAAAAGGTACTTTTGGTTTTCCAATTTTATATAAGATTTCTGTTTAATTTCTTAATTTCATAAAATACTTTTCAATCTTCTCACCCTAACACGATAAGTTAACAAATAATTACTTTTGTATAAATTATTATTATTTTAAAAAATTAATTTTAATATGTCAACATGTCAAAATTTTGTGAATATTTAGAAGTTTAATGTAAAAATTTTTCAATGAAACCACAAGTATTAGGAATAAAAAGCTGAAAAACTTTTTATCACATTAAAGAATCAAAATAAAAATACTAAAGTACACTTTAATAACTGTTTTTATTATTTTTAACTATTTTTTAATCATTATGAAATAGTTAAAAATGTCCAAAACATTTTATGATGGTAAAATAATTCATAAGGAGTTTTGGAAAAAATAATTAAATAGGAGTATATGTGAAAAATTTTCATAATATATTTTAAAAATTTTGAATTAGGTCTTATCAAAAGTAACAAGCGCTCAAAAAAATTGAGCACTCTCTCGAAATAAGGAGGGAGCATTACGTTTTTTAAAACAAATTAACCATTCAATCTAATTGAATTAATAGTTTGCCTCAGGGTCATTTTTTTCCTCATCCAATTAAGTATCCTAATTATCTTCAAATATTCCGACCAAAAATACTTACCAAAACAATTTTTTTTATTTTTCTTTTTTTAAGAAAACAGTTTTTGAAATCAGTCAAACAATCCCTTAATCTCTTTATATCATATTTTACTTTCTACCGTCAACATGTGCATGCCATGTACAAACTTCAAGTTTCATCTTCTGATGTTAGACTTCATGGGAAATCCTGATTCAGAAGGACCTGTTTCATGTCAAGATGAGGTAAATTAATGGCTCGATCATACCAAAAAGTGCCAGTCTCCCTCTGATCTTCCGCCGTGAATAGAAGAAGTAACTCACAGATACTTCATTGATTTGATTCAATCCGGTTTCTTCAAGTTTAAACAATTTAAGAAGCTGATGTTAGCCTAAATAACTCTTGAACCTGATTTAACTCCTTCTATGACATCAAAACAAAAACCCACCTAGAATATTAGTTAAGCAGTCAGGGACACCACTCATAATCAAGAACAAAGGCAATACCAGAAAACATTAAAATAACCTAACAATTAGGTAGCCTGAAATGAAACTGATTTATTACTTCACTATTGAGATACACGCTCTATGAACTGAAAAAGAGTGAAGAACAAACCCCCAAGACAGTCTGTTCTTTAGAAGGTCTTGCATCAGAAGAAAATCACATGCCTTAGATGCATGCCCAGCCCAGAATTACTTTATTAATCTCTGCCACTTAGAAGATGCTTTATTCATAAAGAAGCAGTTTTTCACTCGTTTTCCCCACATTGATCTCCTGAGGATACTGTTTGGTATATCAGTAAATTATGCCCCTGGACGTCTTTTATTTTTATTTTTATTTTTTTATTAGTCTTATAAAACGATTGTGCGAAACCTATATTTGCCATCTTAACATGTTTCACTTTCATATGCATTAAATGGAACTTAAGGCAGAAGTTCTGAGAAATAAAGAGTGAAGACTGAAAGCAGGCATGCAGCTCCCAACATATCAATATTGTTTGCTTTGACTAAGGATAACTAAAAACTGATACAGGCACAGCCCCGTCCAAGCTGTGTAACATGAAAATTAATATCTTCAGAAAGTTTCCCCTAACTTGTCGGTGACTAACCCTCTCACAACTCACAGGATCCGCCTTCTTAAACCACTCAAATTGCAGAACCAACAAATGAATTACAGGTTATAAGCTTCATACCTGTTTCTCACTTCCCACAGATGCTGGAAGTGCTGCAAACAAAGCATCAAGCTGCAGAAGATACAGCCGTTCAGTGGACCGCTGAGGAACAATGCGAAAAAAATATTTTGGAGGGTTCATAATGAAGTCAGAAGGCAGGTAAGAGAATCAGCAATCAAGCACCCTTTTCCCACACTTTTCCAAAACCAGGATCGCATCAGTCGGCCTTTGAGAGAACCATGGAAATGGATTCCACACCCATTTCCCCAACTATTATGACAATTACATCCTTCTTCCCCGAAGATAAGAGAAATGTTCTTTCCAAAATAAACAGTGCCATATCATACGGCAAGTGGCGACTAACTTGTCCTCTAGAACATATATTGAAACGACTCCTAATAGAAGCCCTCCATGTGTCAAGCACTGACACTTGGACAAGTTTGGACAGTATTCTTCGGAAAACAAAAGGTAAAAATAAAACATTACTGCCAGCTTAGTAGCCTTTACCAAAGAAGCACTCATTTGAAAAGGGTTAGCATCTCTTGGAATTGTCTCAATGGTATCAAAAGTTCGGTTCACAATCAAATTAACTTGTTTTTGTAATTGAAAGATTATATCCATTACAACAACCACTTCCAGGATGAGTCATTTTACCTAGTAATATTAAACTGCAACAGAGTAAACACGGGTGATAATTAACGTGGATGTATATCTACATTTGTGTGATGTGAGCATGCGCAAATATATTAAAATTACAAGTTCAAAAGCAAGCTGCATGATAAGGTGAAAAGACACAATCTTCTGGTACTATATACAGCAGATGAGATCATAAAAAACTGATGGACATGCTCCTGAATGTTCAAAACTTCAATAAAGACACACACAAAGAAGGATAGACTTGTTGAAGGGCAAGGACCTTAAAAGTGGCATAGTGCCACAGTCATGTGTATGTTCACAATTGGAAAGTCATAATATTAGGACAGGACATTATGAATAATTTAAAACGAGTCAGGATCTTAAAATTTTGAAGTAAAATATCTAGCGTGAATTTAAGAAAAACATCGTAGAGTGAGAGAGGAAGGTACTGCTAGTTTCCCGTAACTACACAACCTTATAAAGAAATTGAAAAATTCCAACTCCCAATTTGTCATCCAGATTTTAGTTAACTTAAGAAACATATAAATTAGACTCATAATAGAAGATTAGTGACCCGTATAGGCTATATCGCATCAGAATAAGTATAGAGGAAACCGTAAAATTCCAATCCTATAAACAGTTTGCAAAACTAAAGATGCTCGAGTGACGCAGATTTATCAGGAATGGAATTACTGGACAATCAAGTAAGAAGAATCCCAGAAATAGAAGGAGTCACTCCAGCTAAAGAAGAGCATAAAATATTTGATTTCAGAGGTACCACTTACTTACGGCACTCAAATATAATAAGCTAGAATATGAATCTGAAAATAAAACTTTAAATTGGTTAGATTAGGGATTTCAGGATCAAGAAATACAATTTCGTATCGTACCCTTATCTCACGATTCAGTTGATAGTTTCGATTTTGCAATTCACTGAAGTGAGAATATGTAGAAATTTCAACACTCCATCGCGTGATTGAAAAAAGCAAGATACGTAAAACCGGACCGGTCATTAAACCGGTCATGGCACTGGGTCACGGGTTAGTGGTTCAATCAGGGTTGAACCGGGGGTTGAACCGGTGGCAAACCGGTCATGATTAAAATAATACAATTTAAATAAAAAGACATTAATTATAAAAACATTCAACTAAATCCAACCACTCAAAAGTCTAACAATAATAAAATACTATATTTTTGGACTTAGCATGCTCTATCTCTAATTTTTTATTTTTTGACTTTAATTTTACTTTTTTTTGTTATTTTTTTCCGAACTCAGAGCTCTGAAAAATTAAAAATGAAAAAAAAAATCAAAAACGACGTCGTTTTGGAGTAAAAGCCTGAAAAAATATTAACCCGGTTAACCCAGTCAACTCACCGGGTTATCCGGGTTATACCGGGTTGAACCCGAGTTGACCGGGTTACACCGGTTCACTCCCTCACCGGGTTAAGTGCAAACCCAGACCGGACAGGGGACCGGTTCACCGGTTTCCGGGTTGACCCGACCGGTCCGGTCCGGTTTTCAATACCATGGAAAAAAGTAAAACATTGATCAAATAATCGCATCATGCGGAGTAGCTAAGCATAACGTTGAAAGTTGAAACTAAAATGTGAAGCGACTTATGAACGGCTAAGCGACTAATGTTAGGAAATGAAAGGTAGCTTAGCTAGGCTCTAACTAATTTACGAAACAAGACTTTTTTTTTTTTTTGCAGAATGGAATAGATTATCATACTTTTAGCTTGATTAATAATTAAATTACATTGACTCTGAGATGACTTGAATAGCTCATTTGGTTATATTTTGCGAGTAGTCTAAGTACATTATTCATGATTGTCAGTTTGTCACTAATATGATTTTTTTTTTTTGTAAAAGCTATATAGTTATGTAGATGTTAATAATTAATAATAATAGTAAAATGTTGTATCAAAAATAATCTAAGCTGTTCGTTACATTTTATAATGATATCCAACGTTCATTTTAAATTATATTTTAGGTACTTTTAATATTGTATTATTAAAATGAATGGCCAAGATCATTTAAAAAAGCTGATGAGCACAGAACACGTATTAAGGTCCATTCAATCAATTTTTTAGTATCATTTAAAATTTTATCTTTTTTTGTTCTTTAGTATTATTTGTATCAAATTTCTATATTCTTGGCCAGAAATTTTTCTTGGTTTTCTCCTTTTCACACGAGGTTCTATGGGATACATTAGCATGGGCTGAACATGTCAAATTCTGTCATAGATCATTGGTAAATAAAACAAAGAAGCTTAGATTGTTATGCAAAATTAGATTATCACTTGAAATACATCTTCATGAATGTAGACAAATGTGTAGATTGGTTTGCCTATCAGGCATTTTACAAGACTTTAAATATCAATATTTTTAATTATGCATTTTTAGAATTAAAAATTTGTTAAACTCTTACATTACTTGACCTTGTTATTTACTGCATGGTTTTCTGTGGCTTTTAAAAAGAAGAAGCAAGCAGCTCTAACTTTCGATTTCCAATGAGAGGTTTACAGCAGTTATTTCTATATCAATTTTTTTCCTGCTCTATAACTAAATTCCAAATGAAACCAACAAAAAAAAACTAAAAACCAAAACCAATTGCAGCTTCAGATCTCCAATGGCTAGCCTTCTCAAACCCATTAACACAGTTCTCAAAATCACTCACAGTTTGATCAATCTCCTCTTGAGTGTTCATCACAAACGGTCCAAACTGTACCAGAGGCTCACCCAACGGTTCACCCCCAACCAAAATGAACCGAACCACCTTACTGCTAGACCTATTCCAAGCCTCCAAGCAATTCCCAGAAGAACCAAGAAGAAGAATGTGATGTGAAGTCACAGGCTGAGATTTAGGGCTGCCAAACACGCCCTCTCCTTCCAACACATAAACAAAGGCATTCCAAGACTCTGGTATGGGTTGTTGCAAGTGAGATCCTGGTTTGAGAGTGAAGTCTAAGTACATAGTTGGAGTCCTTGTTTGGATTGGAGACTTTGTTCCTAAGGCTTCACCAGCTATTACTCTCACTTTGATTCCATCTTTTGAAGCTTCTGCGATGTCCTTACTCAGCATCTCTTGATACCTTGGCTCAATCCTGTCAGACAGATCATGTTGGAACACAATGATTAGTTGGTTAAACCAAAGCTTAGCTTCTAAATTAAGGAACTTTTTGTTTGGTACGGATCAATTTGACGTGACAATCAAGGTTTTGTTAAATAAAGTTCTTTAAAAGTTAGTACAGAGTTTTGACTTAGGAATTAACGTTGTACATGTACTGTTAATAATTGCCAGAAAAAAATTTGACCAAAGAGAAAATTTAGGAGGAAAAAACAAAAATGGGGCCTGGTTAGAAATATGTTTTAGGAATAATTTTCTATTCTTCAGAATAAAAGAATAAAAAAATTTATTTGATAATATGTTTTTAAAAAATATTTTAGAGAATAAAAAAAATAATATTGTTTTGAAGAACGAAAAATAAAAATAATTTTCAAGTGTTCTAAGATTATTGTTTTGAGAACAAGGAAGAATAAAAAAATACTTATTTCATTATTTTTTTATTCTTAAAACATGTTTTATAAAATATCAATTTTCAAAATAATAAAATAAAAACAGTTTCAAACAACCCTAAGCCTTTTGTTTTTGTGTTTTGTTATTTTTCACATGAACAGTTTTCAAAAATTACATTAGATAATTCAAAAACCACAAAAGTTGAGAAACTGGGAGCACCAACGAACATGTTGTTCTTATTATTGAAGTTTCCACCATCGAGTATGGGTGAGGCATGTTGTTTCTGGTGGTGGCCATTTCCGATGGATATGCACTCTTGACATCACTGAGTGCTCTATTCTAAAGCACTTTGTATATGAAATGGTCCATGATGTGGAATCATGAGATAAAGTCTTGTGTGACACTGATCTTGACCTATTAACATGCATACATACATATACATATATATATTCCAAAGGTGTGAAACATGCACTTGACTTTTCCTTTGTACAAAAAGAACAGAATTTCTTTTTTGATTCCCCAGTATACGGCATCCAAAGTAACCCTCTAATCTAAAGCACTAATTAAAAAATACTGATGATGTGGAGTGACGTGACATATATGTCAGGACCCTAAATTATGATTTTGGTATTTCAATATTTTTTTAACTAAAGTCAACTAATAAAAAAATAATAATAGAATACGCCAACCATATATGTGCTGACTTATGAATAAACTTACTGCTAACCTTATCAGATAAGATTTTTTTTAAAAAAGACTTGTTTGTCCATTTATAATTGTTTGATCCATCAAAATTTTAAAACCATATTAATAGTTGAAGCTTGACAGTGGCGTTTTAATAGACTAAATGATCCGTTATTATACTACAGTTGTATCAACTTTAAAGTTTCAACGGATGTATTCTTGTTTAGAGGAGCTCCCTTATATGAAGGAAAGACAAGGCAATATATATATATATATATATAATAGACGTAAAGAAGAAGGAAGAAATTGAAAGAACTTACATTTTATATTTGGAAGGAAGGTTGATCCAAAGCTGCAGGCCCTTTTGGGTGCCTTGAGCTGCAGGCATCTCTGAGTGGACAATCCCTCTGCCTGCAGTCATCCACTGCAAATCACCAGCTTCTATCGTTCCCTTGTGACCTTCAAAATCTTCATGAGTCACAGCTCCCTGATCACACAAACATGTACACCGCAAATTATAATTGTATGTACATGATTAATGCTGCTATGTGGCTGAGATTTAATTAATTTGTCTTACTGAACTTGAAGGCCCCACATGTATTTAAAACAGAAAAACTCATTTTGACTCTTTTATATATATACTGTTGAATGGGCCAGCATTAAGAGGTTAGAGTCAGATCGAATCATGGTGCTTAAATTGACAAGGTTAAGTAAAAAGAGCTGCAAAATGACTATTAGTTACAACTTTTGGCCAACAGTAAGTGTCCGGCACAGCAATTGGTGTCAAATCTAGGGTTGTATATTTGAAACGCGAGGAGGGGGAAAAAAATATTGAAGGGCTGGCATCTTATCTGTCACATACTGATATAATTAAGTGCTTGTTTAATTTGGGCTTTTAATATCATAAAAGTCCTTTGGATAAATACACCTTTGCCAGATGTTATTTGGTTAATTAGTATTATGATATATTATTTAAAGTTCATTTGTAAGGGCCATTATAGATCATAAAGTACTCACAAAAACAACTCTAAGTAGAAAGAGTTCTGCCCTAACTATTTAGTTATAATTTTTGACTTGACCGTAAATGCCCAATTAAACATGTATGTGTATATATGCATGAATGTATGTATTTATGATTTCACAAACAAATACGTGTATGTGACGCATGCAGGGCGTAGACAACATAGTAACACAAAAGGCAAGCTGGAGTTTGTTATCCTGGCCAAGGAACAAGACAGCAACAAGTGGGGTCATATCTTTTTTTTTTCTTGCTTATGGAATCAGTTGTTGCTGGCACCTAGGTCAACTTTACATGGTTGTACTTTGGTAACTCTAATTAAAGAGGTTCATTTGGTATCCAGGCATAAAGTTATAGCTCGTAATTCATATGTTGCTGGCCAGCACACAGATGGCCACCAACAGAAATATCTGATATTTAGCAGATAACTAAAAAATTTCAACACCTAATATTGAACTAATAACTCACATATCATTGGTTCATTTTTAAAATTAAAAGCAAAACTTGATGTGAAAGAACATTAATTCTAATCATTTTTTCCCAGTTCCTACTCCCAAAACCTTCTTTCGTAACAAAGCTTGAGATGATACTGTAAAATTAGACTAGTTGGTTTGAAAGCCAAACACTTCATCTTTTATTTTTATTTTTTTCCTGACCCTTTTGTCATTCTGTTTTTGAAATCCCAGAAAAGGCAATGATGATATTAAGTTACATTTTTATAGGAAGCTTGAGTAAATTTATAAACTGAAATGATAAATTTGGTGTGTACCTGTAACATGTATGTGACAGTCTCAAATCCTGTAGAAAGAAAACACAGCAGAGAAGGAGAAGGCAGTCAGAATCTCAGAAGATTTTTGAGAACCAATACGAAATATTAATAACAGAGAAGAGAGAGCTTGCAAACCTCTATGTGGATGATCAGGAAATCCAGCAGGGGCAGTGACTGCAGAATTCAAATATTTTTATTCTTAGAAAAGGAAATCTGAGTCTTAATAACTATAAACAGATAGCTCTTTTTCTTTTTTCTGAAGAAAACAGAGATACCCACCTGAGAATTCATCCAATACAAGGAATGGATCAAAGTACTTCAGCTCAAACCTGAAAACAAAACCCAGAAACCTCATTAATCTAAGAAAAATCTCAAGTTTCTCAATGTTCAGTTGTTTCCATTGCAAACAGGAAGGAAAGATTCTGGACAAAACTTGAGTGGTCCTTGCTTCAAAGTTTTCCAATGAAATAAAAAGGACAACATGAAGAGAAACTTTATGAAAACATTGAATTAAACGACGTTTAACAATAAAATTTATACACAAAAATAAAAAAGAAGAATGTAACTAAAAACTGCATGTAATAAGCTCAAGCATGAAAAAACCCTGAAGCAGAAGAAGAATATAGCAATTATGTTGTTACCGTCCAATGCTTCTTCTAACAACGGCCCCAACACCTTCATGTTGAGGTCTGGCCAAGAACTTTCTGACTACAGGACGTGGTTCTGTCATCGAACTGCAAATTTATCTCAGTGGCATTTTGTAAAACAGTTGGGAAACAAACTTAAATTGTGAGGAGCTAAAGGAGGACACCGCAACATATATATAGAAGTGACGATGGAGGGTTGTGGCGTTTAGAGAGAGAGAGAGAGAGAGAGAGAGAGAGATTTTAAAGAAGAGAGAAGTTTGGCGGCCAAATAAGACATCCGAATAAATATGGAAATTGAAAGAGAGGAAGTTGGCTTGCTTGAGATTATGGGATTGAATTGAATTGAATTGAGGGACTTTTTGCTGATCCTTGTATCAACGTCAGCATAACGTCCTCATGATGTTGCTTCCTGGCAATCACAATCTCAGCCGCTGCATGAATGCCACGTGTCAGTACGGAAAATGGAAGAATAATAGTTACTCGAGTGATTGAATCAATAACGCTTTTGCTCCCTGATAATTTTTTTTTAACAAAATAAATTTAAAATGTAGATTTAAGTAATTGTAAATTTAGAAGTTTTAATTATAAATAAAATATTTAAATTTTAAATGCAATTCTTATATTATAATTGAGATTTTTATTTATAACTGTTTAAATTAATATTTATAACTCAGTTTTTTGAAAATTTTGTGAAAACTTAATTGTTATTTGCATGGATTCAATACACCATGTCATCCATGCTACATCCAATTGAAGCATGCTGTGCTAAATGACTATAAATATAAATTAATTATGACATCAGGGCTTGGTTTAAATATGGAGAAAAGAGTGGAGGAAAAACAAGGAAGAGATAAAACCAAAACAAAAATTTTCTAAAAATAAAAAAATTATTACTTTTAGGAGTGTGCTTTCCTAATTTTCCTTCTTCCTCATTTTTCTTCCCGTACAAATGAAGGATTAACAATAATAGAGAGATAAAAAACAAAAAAATGAATAAGCATTTTATTCTAAAAATAAAGTAATAAAAAATAATGACACAAAAAATTTTATTTAATTGAACTGATACAATTTTATTAAATAGAGCATGAATGACATGATATATCAAATTGATAAAAGAATTTCACAATTTTGAGATCTAGTTGTTATTCTACCAAAACCTCATAATAAACCATTATAAAGAGAGACACACATATAATAATAAGATAAAATATACTCCCTCCATTTAAAAATATAAAATATTTTTTGAAAGGTTAAATTTTAAAAAATGTAAGGTATTTTTAATCTTTTCAGGTGTAATTATTGCCTTTTTTTCAAAATTATCCCAATTGAATAAATCATTTTATATTTATTTTAGGTTGAAACATCCAATTAAATAGGGAGTAAATATGAAAAGATAGAATTAATTTGATAATAAATAACTATTTTATTGAGAGTACAATTTGATTAAAAATGTCTTATATTTTTTAATGTAATTTTTAGAATTTAATTTTGATTGACATATAAACTTTTAATTTTTTTCAATTAATAGAATATTACATGTTAGAACTTGGATACCAAATCCATCATAGAAAAAAAATTAAACAAAATAAATTTTCAAAGACAAATATCCTATAAACAGATACAGAGTCAAAATTCTAAAGTTGATATTGGCCAATAATTCTCAACTCATGCATAACTGTGATTTTTCCAAAAGAAAAAAACACGGAGAGAGAGAGAGAGAGAGAGAGAGAGCATAATTGTGAGTTTTTTTTTTTTTTTTGCGATCGAAAAATGGTTAAAGTGATGTTGAAGCAATTAATTTAATTAACCGTGTTTTCACTTTTCAGTACTTATCATTGAAACTAACTATTAATTAGCATCATTTTCAATATTAACTGATAATTATGATAAGTCCTTAAATTTTGTACAACAACTTCATCATTGCGATCATGATGATCACACAATTTCTTAATATCTGAGTCACATCTTTCATTTCATCATCAAATGGAACCTTGTTTTCCAGAACTTCTACACAGTTGAATTTTGATTCCGGGAATGATTTGAATGTGTCAACCACGAATTATTCCTTTCTAACTGCAGTTGAGATCCTTTATTCAAAGAAAAGGTCTTAGGCCATCAGGTGACATTTTCTTTTAAGTCAAGGTATTATCTTTAATTACTCCCTCAACTTGTATATATAAGGTGGAAAGAAAATATTTTTTAAATTTTATTTATAAATTATATCATTAAATTTTTATAATAAATTATCTTTTTACCCTTCATTAAATATTAGGGAGAGTATTGTATATATTTAACACTGATAAAGTTAAAAATTTTTTAAATTTTTAGATAAAGTTAATAAATTTTAAAATTTTGCTTGATTCAAACAAAATATATTCAGAATGACTTATAAATATGATTGAAAAAATAAATATATAATTATTTATTTATTTTTATTTTATCTCTCAATATCTTAAAAAACTTTAAATATTACCATCACCCAAACAAATCTAAACCCCTGCTGTGCCACCCTCAGTTACACTTATTTACTAAATATGGCCATAATGTGTACTACTATCGTCAAAAAAATGTAAAATACTTTAATTAAATTTTATTTTTAATAAAGTAGTTATTTATTTTTAAATTAATTTTATTTTTTTATATTTATTTTTATTTAATAAGGTGTTTTATCTTAAAATAAATATATAATAATTTATTCAATAAAAAAATTTTTAAAAAATAATAATTATATCTTAAAAGATTAAAAATATATTATATTTTTTAATACTTAATCTATTAAAAAATATTTTATATTTTTAAATGATTGAAGTGTTTACATATAATCTAATCTCAACCCCTAGAAGTATAAAAAGATTTGCAGGGCTATTGGGAATATATGGCCTGATGATCTGGTGCCGTAAAAAAGTCAAGCTCAAATTTAATACAGAGTTTCTTTGCAAGTAAATATGTCAGCTTTTAAAACGCTCCGTTTCTAAAAGCTGAAAAAAAAAAAAAAATCTTCACATATGTCCATGGGTGAGACTTGAGCATTGAACGTCCGTTACATGCGTTGTCTATTTATATTGATTGAACACCCACCTGACTTAATTAATTGCCTTTGGAATTAGTTTTTTTTCCTTTTCTAATATTAACTCTTTAAATTTGCAAGGCCTTATCGAAAATCTTGAATATACTGTCATTTCTTTGCACCATTGATAAAAAAAAAATTTAACCTACAACATTTGACATTCTTGAGAAAAAAATAAATTTCACATTTATGAAGATATATAATTTAAATTTTTAACAGAAACAACCTTCATTAAATTTAAATTATTTTGTTGTTTTCCGTACCATGTAATGTCACTTGTTACTTTTTTGTCCCAAAAAAAAAAACAAAGATGTTAACAAAATCTAAATAGTGTTTGAGATGGTGGTATAATTCTCTATTCAATATGCATATGCACGCCTTCAAAAATAATTAATTTAATTTTATTATTTATGATATATTGATTTGGAATAAAAATATGTGTTATCATATATGATACATCTTTTTGATGATCCAGAATGAAATGAAGAAAATGAATTTATAAAAACATAAATTAATATTATTAAATTAATTAATGATAATGGTGGGTTGCAGAATGAAGAGGGAATGAGATCATGAGGGCAAAAGCATGACGCAATGGGGGAAAAGCTGGTCAAAAGTGAGGAGAGAATGAAAGAGAAATATGAATGGAAAAGCATGGAATGAATAAATGTGTGATATTCAACGAATGATGATATTTGATATGCCCAATCATGATGCTTTGCTTTGCTTATTGGCATTGCCTTGTATCTTCCTGCTTTTTGCTTCCTCACTTGGGGATTCTCTTTGCCTCTCCTTTTGAACTTCCCTTTGTCTTTTCACAATGTTTCATCCAGAAAAATGAATGAAGAACTAATGGTACAATGCAATTCCTTGTGGCATTACCAAGTTTGGATTGAAAGGCTTTTCATGTTTTAATTCTCTGTGGGGGCATGACGTTTGACTCTTATTTCAGATAGCCTTTAATTAGAGGTCATATGAATGTTGGACATATTTCAAATTTGACATATGTCTTATTGTTTCATGCTAATGGATTTTTTTAAATCTCAAGCTAATTAGCATTACCTTAGACAAAAAATGAGATGATCCCTCCATAAAAAAATGTGAGATATTTTTAACCGAATCACAATATCAATAAAGTAATTAATTTTCTCTCAATTAATATTATCTTTTCATATTTATCTCCATTTAATAGAATATTTTATTTTAAAATAAATAAAAAATGACTTATTTATTAGGAGGCACCTTTGGTAAAATTAAGCACGTTAATTACATTTTAAAATATTAAAAATGTCTTAAATTTTTTAACATTCAAACCCTCAAAAAATATCTTATACTATTTCTTTAACAAAGGAAGTACATGAATAGATGTAAAAAACAAAAATTAAACCTTTCTAATTTGTCACAAAGAAGAAGAAGAATTTTCAACCTTCATTTTGTAACCTTGTGTAAATTTCTCATGGTAACAACTCAAGATTCAATCATCTTCATGTGCTTCAATCATACGAAAACTTTGACCAAAAAAAAAAAAAGAAAAGAAACAATCATACGAAAACGTTATGGAGAGAAATGAAATTGTCAAGATGTTGACTGATGCAATATGCGGGGGAGCTTTTTATGGTGAGCATTTTGAGGTGTGTTTGTATTAACCACCTCACAATCACGCATCATGCTTATTGCTTTGATGATGCACTACACTAATTTACACTCCCTTTTTATTTTTTTTGTGGCCTTTTTTATTCATCATTTTGATCATGCCAATAAGATCATGATCATGCTACTTAAGATCTGACATTCATGAGAACAGCAAAACAGATGTAATGGAAATATCCGCGACAACTGATGATGGGAGAGTTTAATAATAATAACAGTTAAGTCAATTAATTATGTTGGGCATGTGGCCACCAACATCATGCCCAATTCATAGGTTTCTCAAATCCACTAAACATATGTCAAGCTTTCTCCATTCAAAATTATAAAATATTTTTTAATAAAAATTCAGCATTTCAAAATACAAAACATTTTGTTAAAATTAATATTTTATTAAATAAATTTATTTTAATATTATTCATTCTCTCTCTTTTTCATTTTTTGCTGCTCTTTTTTTTAATATATTAAATTACTTTTTAAAAAAATTTATATTTTTATTTTTTAAAAAATAAAATTATTAAGTATATTTAGTAAGATTTATTAATTTATGAGATTTTATTTAAAAATATTTTATAATTTAAAATGGGGGAGTAGAATATAAATATTGGGCCTTCAAAGAAGAGAGAACATATACACTTGCTTTGCATATGATTTTTTAAATAGGCAAACATAGCATACACACACACATCATTATCAAACATATTTACGCATGAATTTCTGATGGGTTCAATTTGCCTTCATTTTTTTTTTTCATTTGGGTTGGCTTGAAAATTTTCTGCGTGTTTTCCGGACAATAAAAGTGGTAATAGAATTTCTAAACAGTCTTATTATTATGACATCAGAGATTGAACAAAAAGTTGGTGCCAGATTTTCAATTGAATTATGTAAAGTTTCATCGAATTTCAAAAACCAATTAATCATCTATGATTTATCATAATACTTTTGCTTGCTAGCTCCACACAGCCATTACACAATTGTAAGAAATATTCATGTGGGATCAGAAGCAAGAAAAGGCATTACTACATTTTGACAAATCTGAACCCTTACTTGTTCATCTCATGAAAAACGCACCCAAAAAAAGTAACCATAAATACTCATCCATGATAGCAAAAGGTCCAAAAAGGTTCATCAAACAGGAATAACTTAACATGTACTCAGGATTGCGTTCATCTAATTAACCCAGGTAGAGATTGGGGAAATGGGAGAGAGAAATGGACCTACATTAAGGTATAACAACTAAGATAACAGCTAAGTGATAGCAACATAAAGTGCTAAATTCTGCATGATGAACATTTTGGGAGGAATATGACACTCAAAGCAGAAGAGGAACAACAAAGAAGGCTAGAAAGAAAAAAATGATCCTGATAGTGACCTCAGATTGTGCATTTCCTGGGGGCGAAGCTCCTGACCTATTTTCGGTAGAAAAGGAGGAATTTGTGGGCACCTTCGAAACAGGAGGCAAAGATGGCTCTGACACTTCAGATTCTGTGAGAACTGGGAGTGGAGCCTCAGCTGGTGGCAAATCATCATCTGTGATAAGTCCAAAAAGAGCGCCGGGGCGAGCAACAGCCATGTAAGGTGGTGTTTTGTCACCCAAATTTAAACATTTGTTCCCTGTAGTAAGATGAGCACATCAGGAATCAGAGGTGAAAAAATATTTACAATACAGCTCAATTTGCTATAGGACCAATCCAAACAAACACAAATGAGTAGGTTGATATTTGGATTCTTGAAAGATATGTCCTTTCTTAATTTGATTCTCCAAATGTTGGCCTTTGGATTTCAATCCAATAAATTTCATTTCGTCTTCAAGCACTTGGTTAAATTTTATGTTATTTCTGAGGCAACATATATCCACTTTTATTAACTTTAGGTTAACGGTATTAACATGAGGACTTCATTATAAGATTAAAATGAGAAGGCCAAAATTTATAGGATTGAACTGAGAATTGTGTATGCTTTGAGGACCAAATTGTCAACTCAGTCAAAATGAAACAAGAAAAGTATTAGTCTGTTTATAGTATTGTTATTTCTACAGCTATCCAGGAGCAAAATTACTACGAGCAAAAGTATGGCGGAGAACTAGTAATGCAAAGTGCCTGAAGTTATTTAAAAAAATAATAATAATAAAAGAACATAAACCAAACATTGCCAAAATTTTCACCTGCAATTTAGAAATATGGAAACAAAGACTTGGATGCTATTAGTGACTTTCATGTGAATTTCTTTCAGCAGAAACACACACACACACGGTGGTCTTGCACTTACTTTTGTATCTTTTAGCTGTCTTGGGGAAATCTGTGATGACACCATCAATGTCCGCTCCGCGAACGAATGAGTTGATCTCAACAGTCGCATCTGAGAAGAAGTCCCATGCCTGAGAAGTAAACTCATTGCTGAAGCTTTCTACATAAACAGAGAGTTTGGAGGATTTTAGCTTTGACACTATCCTGGTAGAGCCAATCAGGAATTCTGAATTAAGAGGAAATACTGATGTCTTCTTGACAACCACAGAATCAGCCACGTTTTTTATATCCTCCACAGCTGAATCAACAGCATCACCAACGTCTTCATCGATTTTGTACACAAGCTCATATTTTGTTTTCTCCTTAAATTTCTTTAGCACAGAACTACTAGCGGACTGAATCATAACCTTATGGGCCTCTGACTTGTCATAACCTGTTTTGCTCAAGGTATCAATCACTGCATTAGTCACACGTAATCCTTCCTTCTCTGCAAGATAGGCTGCATTCTGATAAAAGTAAAACACATGATTGTGAGAATAAATTGAACATCAGCAAGGACAATTGACAGCAAAAAAAGTTATTCAATATTCATCTTTTAGAAGGTTCAGGACATGTCATCATTCACCATCATAATATGCAGCCATTTGTACTGTACCCACCAAAAAAATAATTTAAGTTACAAAAGGACTTTAAAAAGAACGTAGTGTGCAAAGGTTTCTCTTAATTTTTTTCTAGTCTAGTCATCAAATTGGCCTTAAGTTTGGATGCTAGATCCCCAAGTCTTTGCTTCTACCTATAAGTGGACATAGGTGTGAAAAGAGAAGGTAGAATGATAATTGAAGACCCTGCAAGAAGATTAATGTAAAATAAAGACCTTTGAATTCTAAATTCCTAAATTTTCACTTTTCAGTTGTAAAATCCGGAAATTTCAGTTATAAAAGTTCTTTTGATATTTTTCAAAGGTCCTTATCTGTCATTCTCCCTTCTTTGGAGACCTTGCAAGGAAATTAATCAACAGCATGAAAGAATCAACACCATGCTTGTGAAGAACAACTATCATAGTTAGAAGATAGGAAAGGGGCGGGGCAGGGGTTGTACCCTTGACACAGGGACGTATCTACATTGTGGCTTATGGGGGCAATTTCCCCCACAAGATTAAAAAAAGTTACATATAATAACCCAAAATCTTTCAATTGCCCCCTTTAAAAAAATTCAATTGCCCCCTATCCTAAAAGAAAATTTTCACTTTTCCCCTCAAAAGATCTCTCTTATCCTCTAAAAAAATTATTTAACTCAAATCTCATCTATATTTTATAATCTTGAATAAAAGGAGGGAGAAATAATTTAAAAAATAATTAACATTTATCTTATGTAACAAAATTGTCCCCACTATATAATTTTTTCTGGATCCATCATTGCCTTGACATCATTCTCACCCCAATCTTCAGGAGTAAGGCTAATGATCTTCATCATAGATATTAATAATTGCGTGCATTGGTGGTAAAGAAAAATTGTGTACATTCATATTATCAGTTCATAAACATCTCATATGAAATGAATTTTGGGCAATGAACTCACCTCAATGATAATCATGATACCATATAGAGATGTCTGATTCTTTGTAATGGACAAGAAATCCGATAATGTTACAAGATTCCCAGCATTCTTATTATCTGGATTCCGGAACATTTCGTATTTTGCATAATAGGGATTCAATATTGAGGCTGCAAGTAAACAGTAGATATTAAAACGCAGATGCCATATTTGATCAGAATAATTTTTTAAGTGAAGGGAAAAATGAATGCGTTCATAATCAGAAGGATTGATTCAGTAGCATGCAAGATCTTGGGATTACCTCGATCAGGAATGTAAATGTCGTGATTCCATTAGGTCCATCTTTTATTACATTATAGCATTTTTTTATTACAATTATAGCGCATTTTCAAAAGCAAATTATCACATACGTACGGGCCAATCAAGGAGGGCTAACATATCAGTTTATCTTAGAACTAGAGGAACGAACATTCAAAAACTTTATTTGACTTACGCTTCAAGGTTTTTATATCGTTCCATGTCAAGTTGAATGCAAATATGCCGCTGCCAGACTTTATCTCTGGGATAGTTGCTGTGATATTTCTGAAATTTGATTGAGCGGCTGTTGTACTCTCCGTAAGATCGACGGAGCTCAAACAAAATGGTATTCCATCCTTCGACATTTGAACAGGACAGTCAAGAACATCCGCACCATCCTCTATGGCCTTTTGATAGGCCAAGTCAGTACAAGCAGGATAGTCTCCACTGGCTCCATATTTAGAAATAACCAAATTGTTAACTGAAACATGAAAATGTGTTAGAAATAAATCAATACTGAAAAAAAGCGTAGCTTCATTGGATTTGTAAAATGGAAGAATCTGGAAAATACTAATGAATAAGATAAGAATACAGATATGCAAAATTTTAACAAAGCAGTGATATATATATACCTCTTTCTGTGGCATTTTCGCCTAGGTGAGCAAAGCAATCTGCAGAATAAGAACAGACTTTAATAAATCCAGGAAATACCAATACAATCAAGCAAATAAAGGGAATTAATGCAAATGCACATCTGAGGCCACAATAGTTAAGGTTGGATGAGTAAGCAAAATGTAGACGACATAAACATTTATTAGCACGATGCAATCAAGGAATTTTGCATCATGATGTGAAAACTTTTATGATGTTTTAAGATTACACTACTGCAAATCTGCCTAAAGGAGTTTGCACTAAGCGGAGGTTAAAGGGCAAAAATTATTTTCTAGTTATTGGGTTGTCGAGTGTGAGTGGACTTGGCTTAGTGTGGAGAAAAATCTCACATCAGATAGAATTGGACTAGAGAAGAGATATATAAGTGGAAAGGACTCATAAACTTAATATCTTAAGATTTTGGGTTAAGATGCGATATCATACTCACTGATATGTGTCCTTCTAGAACAACTAAGCAGCCCAACTATGTTCTCATCTATTCAGAGATGTTCCATGGGCCCAACAAGTGGTATCAAAGTCAGGCTCCAAGAAAGAACCCTTATTGGGCTGAACTATTGGTAGTAGATTGGTGTCTTCAAAATGTGGGTGAATAAGAGAAGCATATTTATGTAGTCAATAGTTGTCAAGTGCGAATGGACTTGACTTAGTGTGGAGAAAAGTCTCACATTAGATAGAGTTGGGTTAAAGAAGAAATTTATAAGAGGAAAGGACCCATAAACTCTACACTTTAAGGTTTTAGATTAAGATATAGTGTCATATTCATTTATATGTGTCCTTCTGGAACCATTGGGTGGCTCAATTATGTTTTCTCCTCTTCAGAGATGCTCCATGGGCCTAACACTAGTTTGGATATTGAATCCTAAAAAGTCAGTTGAATTAATTTTACCAATTCCACGATCTTTTTCTGTTTTTGGGTAACTATCTATTGTACATAACTGTGTGAGTGCTAACATTTAACGAGCTCCTAGAAAGTTCGCTTGTTGTTGTATCGAGATAAAGAGAGGATCTATACCCTTGTAAGTTTTAGTTAATAAAGTTTGTTGGGCTTTACCCTGTTTTCCCATAAAAAACCTTTATAAGTGCAAATGAGTTGCACTCTCATGGGTAAGTCTGACCAAGGTTTGGTAGTAAAGATGAATAGACATACAGATGGAACAAATAATTTCAAGGGACATTGATCATTAATTCCAGAATTATTAATTTTGGCATGCGTAATTCACCTTTTAGCTGGTGAAAGTGCATGCATAATTAGGAGAGACACATTTAAGGCGATTCACTAATCAAGGGATCCGCATAGTCAGTTCCATTCCAATTCATAGTACATTACTCTAGAAGAAAAATGAACGAATGAGAAAACAAGATCTTGTGAATCGGTGCAAATGCACGCTGATTATAGAGGGCCATTCTGAGAAATAGGAAAGATACAAAACATAATTACCAATGGCTTCAGATGGAGTAATAGGGAAGTCAGACAGCACGCCATCGACAGAAAAGCAACCGTTATCAATGAATTGGAGGTATTCAGCAAGAGGATCGTAACTGTAATTAAAGCTTAGTGGAACATCACTCACAAAATCTGAAGCAAAGACTTCCAATCCCACTTTTTGAGCATCTAAGACCAAAGAGGTATGTGGCTTTAGATAATTTCTTGCATCTGTGGGCCATATGTACTCTTTGGGAACGAGAATACCATAAGCAAATGACTTGATAAAAGTAATATTTTTCAAGAGTGAGCCATAAGTCTGATTAACTGACGGTTCTGTGTCATCCTGTCTCAGAAACCTGAAAACCAGTTTTGTTGTTCTTCGGTTCACTTGCAATGCTATACTTCTTAGGAAGTTAACCTCTGGTGATGAGATATAAGTGATAACCACACTTCTAGAAATAGAGAGTATGAATCTTCTCATGCTCAATTTGTGTTTTGTGTAGAATGCATCATGCTGCGAAACATCAGAAAAGAATGAGTTGGCTTCCAAAGAAACTTGGAGACTGAATTATTGGAGTGAAATATGTCTCCTTTTTACCTGAATATTCAACCATAAGCTCGGTGGGCTGACTTGTTTGACCATGTCTTGAACAGTAAGAATTGAAAACCCAATGCCATCAAACCTTTGAGTTCGAGACATGACTCCCTGAACAACTGTTAAAAACACACAAGAAATTGTCAAAAAATGCAAAATATATTGAACAACTATTTGTTTATTTTTGGAAAAATTAATTTTGTAATCCATCCTTCAACTTTTAATTTTCTTATAACTCAATCTCTTAATTATGACTCACTTATAATTCAATTCTTCAACTCTTGACTCATTTATAATTTAGTCCCGCAATTTTGTTAATTCTCTTTTTTAATGTTAGTTTAGATCTTATATCAAATAGCAAGAGGGGGTATATTAGAGCAATATATGAACATTTCCTGTATCCCTCTTTTTTTATAAGGATAAGTTTTTTAAAAATTTAAAAAATAAAAACTGAGTTATAAATGAATTAAAAGTAGAAAATTAGGTTGCAGTAAATCATGATTGAGGGATTAAGTTACAGATGAGTTAAAAGTTGAAGAATTACAAGATTAATTTTTTCCTTTATTTTTTCTTTTTAAAATTCAGGAAGAAAAAGGTACAATAAATATTCCAAATGTTTGAGAGTCAAATTAATGCCTGATGGCTAAATGTTCTAAAAGCCACTAGATCGTTTCAACTAGCTGCATTTTAACAAAATATTATGCGCGCGCGCTTTAGATACTAGCATCAGGTAACAAATAAAGTAGTAGGAATTAAAGAAATACGTGAACGTACGCATGACATTGGACAGATCCTTCAGGGTGTAATCCACAGAAAAATACCCACGGGTCGGTACACCGTTGATTATATAATTTGTAGCTTTATTTGGGAAAACCTGAGCAATGTCTGTAGCATTGTCTAGCTTGATATCTGGAAGGCAAATCCCAGCTCCGTCTTTTGTTAATTGGACATCACACCACAGAATGACATTTCGTATACTGGTTGCCAATGCAAACTTATAGGCATGCACACTAGAATCAGGAAATAGCCCTGAAAAGCCCCCACGTGCTATGACTAGCGGTGCATTTCCTGCATAACAAGAGCATGAGTATGTTTAACTAAATTTGGAATATAATTGATGTTCCTCTTCATGAGGGAGGGGATTAAAAAAAAACAAAAAGACATGCCACAGTAAAAGAGAATTAGGTCTTGAAATACAAATATACGTGAAATTCTGTTTTTAATGGCTTCTTGAGTTGAAAATATCAACAGATCTGGATCTTATTATATTTATAGTAGAGTTTAGTTGTTAATTGACCTTTGTCCCACAACTCATCATTTGAGCAATAATTTTTGCATTCAACACAAGAAACACCGCACCATAATGGAATAATTTGATATCACTCGCAGCAAATATTAGAAAAAGAAAGCTTCTTTTAATTAATAGCGGAGAAATCAAACTCAACAATAATTAAGCAGCAGGTCAGCTTCATCAATTTCCTTGGAATTTAGACAAATGATAGATCTTCCATTTGGCAGCGCATTCCTGAGAATTTCCACCAAACACAACTTGACAAAACCAACATCTTAAACCACCAAGAACAAAAGGCTGTAATGGACAGAAACTTCAATTAGCCTCTCTTTTTCTAGAATCAGCAGACATCAATGGAATAGTAAAAGATAAACATCCGAGTGTTCACCGTAGTCTTTGTAGATTTTTTCAGCAGCATTGCAGAAACTACCTGCTCATTGTAAACTAGTAGAAAATTGAAGAGAAAATCGAAGTAAAACAAGAAACATACCGCTGAGTGTCTTCCAAGTGGTTCTGTTTGATTGCCGAGCAGAGACTAGAGCTACCAGAGAGTGAAGAAGCAGCACAACGACTAGACGAGAGAGTGCGCCCGAGCTCCACATTCCGACGAAATTAGCAGCACGGAACGAACTTCCGGCAGCCTCTTCCTGAATGAAATTCCGGCGTATTTCTCAGGTAAATGCGTCGGGGAAGAACTGTGAACTGAAATGTGAAGGCGTGAAGCTGAAGCTGTGGTGTGAACGTTTCACTTCATGCTGGCCTTTCCGGCACGTTTATAGTCTTTCCTTTATAAGCATTATTTTTTATTTTCAATTTTTGCCAGATTTTTTTATTATCGTTGAGGCAAATCCAAATGATAGTTTAAATTCGTAAAAGTCCTTGTACGGATCATAAATTTAATAATAATTAAATTATTGACAACATTTTTTTTTAAAATGAGTTATAGATATTGATTTAAACAAGTATAAATAGAAATCTCAATTACAAAATGAAAATTAAATTTAAAACTAAAATGTCTTACTTAATTGCTTAAATCAATATATATAATTTTTTTTCTAAAAAAAATAAAAAACCGCTTTGTTAATAGTTCATCATAAGTACAACATGTGAAAGGTTTTATACTATTCATGTAAAGTTGTGAGCATATAGAATATGGTATGTGTTTATAAGGAAAATGACAGTATCAGTTTCTTAATTTTGCAATTACTCACATTCAGGTACCTCAGTTTCAACGATTAACAAGTTAATGACAGCCTATAAAAATGTATAGGCTTTTTGCTTAAGGTAACTCGAAGATGCCTCAACTGCAATGTTTGGGTAGCTAGAAAAAAGAAAAGCAATGTTTTAAAAATTAAACTGGACAATGAATCAAAATATTAGTGAGTCATTGATTTCATGGTTCAATTGGTAGTTAAACTAGTGATATAATAATTAAATAAAAAATAATATTTATATACATATGTATTAAAAAATGAGTCAAAACAGTTCGACCACTCCGAATTTCGGGTTTTTGCTCCAGGTCTTTAAAAACCGCTTGGGTCAAAGTGGGCTAACCCGGTCAATTGTCAAAATGGGCCAAATAGTAGAATCAGACCATTTTTTTTTTCCAGATGACGTTTCAACTGATCCGACCGTTCGGGTCGGTCTAGATCTTAAAATAATGAAGAAGAGTCACCCCTTTTAAGAAAATTAATTATTTTTTTTCAATTTTTTATTGATAACTTGCATAAATTAAGGAAATTAATTAAAATAAATAGTTTAAATAAAAACATATTATTTTATAAACATGTATAAGGTTTTAATCCTTATAATATGGACATTGAATGAAATTTAAAAAAAGTAATTCAATTGATAAATTAAATTAGAGTTAGAATTAGCGAGGCCTCAACGTATCCTCAATTACTTACTTCTTTGTTTTCTCCTTTTCCTTTCATTACACATCGCAGCCATTAGACATGACATGACAGCTATCTCGGGTCCACACCAAAGAGAGCAGTTATCCACATGGCGATAATTCATTGGTGGTTTGGTTGCAGTTTCACCGGACGCGAAAAACGGTCCCATTTTTTGAGCGTTGGCGCCATCGCAAGAGGTGAATTCATGCGATTTTTTAAAAAATATATTATATATTAATATATAAATTTAAGTGTGTGGTGTGCATTTGGCATAAAATTTAAAATAAATTATACTCCTTTTATTTAAAAATATAAAATATTTAATCAAACATCACCTCTAATAAAATAATTATTTATTTTTTAACTAATTTTATATTTTCATATTTATCTCTATTAAACATCTTACAATAAATATAAAATTATTATCAATAAGGTACTTTAAAAAAATGATTATACTTCAAAAAATTAAAAATTTTATATTTTTAACATCTAACTCTTCAAAAAATATCTTTATTTTTAAATAAAGGGAATATACTTTATCCCACGAATCACGAATGTGAATTCGTGATCACTCTATTTAATGTTATAAGATATTTTTTAAACATTATATTAAAGATATAAAGTATTTTAAATTTTTAAAGTGTAATTAATAATATTTTTTAAAACACCTTTAACTAAGGGGTATAACTGATCAAGTTTTCTAATCAAGACACTATATTAAATAAGGTTAAAAATGAAAAAGAATATGTAATTTTATATGTCATCAGCAAACTTATTGAAGTGTAAAATGTAAACTAGTTAAAAATGTTTCATAATTAAGTCTGAATTGAGGGAGAGTATAATTTTTATGAGAGATCCATTTTTTTCATGTAAGCATTTTGGCACAGCTCACAAGTAAATATTCTACAATATTTGCATGCTGTACAAATTAGATTGAAATATTCAACTTTTATAAATTTTAGATTCAACAAATGTAACACTAACAATTAAAAAACTAATAATTAAAAGTATTTCAAAATCAAATTATTTAGATTCATATTTTTCTAAAATAAATCTAATAGTAAGTTTATCATAAATTAGTAAATCTTATTGAACATCGCAAATGATAAAATTTTGAATTTAAGAAAAAGAATTATTTATTCAATGCTAAACATAATAAATTAGTTTTACTAATTCTTATTGGTTCAATATTAAAATTTACATTCAGATCAAAAAATGTTGATTTTTGAGTGATTTAATGCTAAAAATATTTTTTAAGAAAATTCGTTTTTATCAATTCATTCGGTTTTGAACTTAATTTTCATTGACATTGAGGATGAATGATATAAAAATCACAATCAGTTCAAGATAATTTTTGAACATGTGAATTTTCACCGTGATACAGGGGGGACTTTATTGTTTCAAGTATTTGATATTAGTTGAGACTTGAAAGAGAATAATCCTTATTATGGCAATGTCAATATGCAAAAAAAGAAAGGGCTATTTTACTTGTCTTTTTGAATTGCCATCCCTAATTGGCCAGACTTCACAAATTATTGTGCCTATTATTAGAATCAATTTTACTTTTAAATGCAAAATACGTAATAGGCAGCTTGCCATTTTTTTTGGATTAAATGACAAATTAACCCTAAAAAGTGTTTAGAACTTTAAATTTATTTTTAGGATAATATTTTTCTTTAATTTTAAAAACAAGTTTAGGGTTTTAGATGTTCTTAAACATATTAAAGATTAATTTACCATTTAACCTTATTTTTTGGGAGATTAATAGTAAAGTTTTGAAAAAGAAAATTAGTGACAATTAGATTTCTAAGAATTTCAATTGAAAGTTGAAAGTTACATTTTGAATTGAGATGTTCTTATTTACAATTAAAAATTATAAATTTATAATTATTTAAATCAATATTTATAATTAATTTTCAAAATATTTTATTAAAGATCTAACCGTCATTAATTCTTTTTTTAATGCAAAAGTAGGTACCATATATATAAATGTATTCTTTTTATTCGGATACAACTATCTAATTATTTAGCTTTTTATTTGATTATATTTCAATATTCAGACTTAATTAAAAGTAGTGTTTTAACCGGTTTTAAATCATCCAAAGTTAGTTGTATGTATACATTACTACTAGAAATTTTAATGATAATAACATTTTCAAAGTCCAGAGACTACTATTGTTGAAATATTGAATTTGTCAGAGACAAAAATTGGATGAAACAAAAACAATGTAGTTTTCTGTACTTACACAATATTGCTTGAAAAATTGATACATGAAAATTTCATCAAATTTTGACAAACTAAAAAAAAAATTAGTAGAACACCGAAATTCTCCATCTCAAAGCCAAGATATTGATACAATGGAAGATAGAGCAGACCCCTTGTACTAAGAAAGTAGGCAATGTTACATTTCAAGTAAAAAAGAATACAAATGCCATGTGCTATCAATTAAAAGTCATTTGGGCCCTAGTATAGTAATAATAATAATTAAAATCTTAGGTTTTGGGGCCAAAAAATGAAAAGGATAAGAAACGTTGTAACTTTAAATAAGTGGTCACAATTAATTAAAAGTATTATTATTTGTACTTACAGGCACTGTGACAGAAACGGGTTATGCTTTTGCCAATCTTGATTTTGCTATAAATAATCAGGATATATTTATAATGCATTTCTTTACGTGCAGTGTGTATTTTTTTGTTTTGGTAAATATATGTGTAGTGTATTTATTAAGCGTAGAGCAAGTCGGATATAGTTTTTATTATTATGACAATAAGTAAATAAGAACATTTCCCATAATGGTGTATTGGATGTAAATTCCAATCTTCTGACTCTGTCCAATAAACTTCCCTCGTTCTTTTGGGATTAGTAAAAGATATGGACAATGTTTTCAGCTCGTGGCCGATTTTCAGAAAAATTATATTAAATGATAAAAATTCTAGAAAAATCTGAATAAAATTTCTAATTATTATAATTTCCTTCAAAGACAAAGTTACAACTAAATTTTGAAGAACTTATCATTATTTGTTAAAAAAAAAACTTTTTAATGATTTTCTCAACAAAAAAAAAATACTGCTGTAAAACAGAGTGATAATCTTAATCTTTGAAAATAATTATAATTTTTAATTATTTTGAGAAAACTAAACTAAACAAGCTTATCCTCCCATGAACCAACTTGTTGGTTTAATGAAGAAAAAGTCCCACGATAGTCATATATTACATTTACGCATGAACTATGTTTGATACACATTCAATTTACCATTGAGAATAAGCAACATAACTTTGATTGACAACCCCTTCTCCTTCATGTAATAAAACATTTAAAATAATAGTAATCCACCACATTAGAAGACCAACTTCATGACATAGATACCAAATTATTATCTTTTCCTCTCCCCTATCTTCATGCCGGAGCCGGGGTACTGTCCTTAGCACTTAGCACGGAAAATGCAGGCAACGGTGGATCCGCCACGCTTGTATCGTTCAACCCACGGAAGTGGAGGAGCAGGAGTGGAAGGTATTCCTGGCTAATTTTTTCAAAAGACGGCCAGGTTCAATAGGGCTCATATATGGAGGAGTTTTATTGCCAAGATTTAAACACAAGTTCTCTGCAACAAACTCATCAACTGTCAGATAATGACTAATGGCTTCAGATATGACATTTTAATAGCTTAGACCCTAACAATCCTGAAAGCGATCATGCATGAATCTA